TCTTCCTTAATGAGATTAATCCACCTATGAAGTTTCAAGTTGATACCTTAAATACTTTTTGAGATCAGCTCCGGACAAAATAGTACATGTATGAAAAAGAATAAAGGGCAATTACTCAGAAGTTATAAAGCAAAGAGTTATTATTCTTGCGCAAAGCATTCCTCCTCAATAAGATCTATCCACCTATGACATTTCATGTTGACATCTCAAACACTTATAAGTTATGCTCCAGTCAGGTGAAAAATTAAGTATGAAAAATAACAAAGGGCAATAACTCAAAAATTATGAAAAGTAGAGTTATCATTATTGTGCCCTGCACACCTCCTGAGTAAGATCTTTGTATCTATGAAGTTTCATGTTGATATCTCAAAGGCTTTTTGAGTTATGCTCTGGACAAAAATTAATTTTGAAAAATAACAAAGGGCAATAACTCAAAAATTATGCAGGGTAGAGTTATCATTCTTATGCACTGCACACCTCCTAAATGAGATCTATATACCTATGAAGTTTCAAGTTGATACCCCTAATACTTTTTGAGATAAGCTCCGGACAAAATAATATGAAAAATAAAAAAGGGCACTTACTCAAAAATTATATAGCGAAGAGTTATCATTCTTGCGCACAGCATTTCTCCTCAATAAGATCTATCCATCTATGACATTTCATATTGACATCCCAAACACTTTCGAGTTATGCTCCACTCAGGTGAAAATTTAAGTATGAAAAATAACAAAAGGCAATAACTCAAAAATTATGCAGGGTAGAGTTATCATTCTTGTGCACTACACTCTTCCTAAATGAGATCCATCCGCCTATGAAGTTTCAAGTTGATACCTCAAATACTTTTTGAGATAAGCTTCGGACAAAATAGTATGAAAAAGAACAAAGGGCAATTACTCAGAAATAATAAAGAGAAGAGTTATTATTCTTGCGCAAAGCATCCTCCTCAATAAGATCTATCCACCTATGACATTTCAAACACTTTTGAGTTATGCTCCACTCAGGTGAAAATTAAGTATGAAAAATAACAAAGGGCAATAAATCAAAAATTATGAAAAGTAGAGTTATCAATCTTGTGCAATGCACACCTCCTGAGTAAGATCTTTGCATCTATGAAGTTTCATGTTGATATCTCAAAGGCTTTCTGAGTTATGCTCTGGACAAAAATTAATTTTGAAAAATAACATAGGGCAATAACTCAAAAATTATGCAGGGTAGAGTTATCATTCTTATGCACTGCACACCTCCTAAATGAGATCCATCCACCTATGAAGTTTCAAGTTGATACCTCAAATACTTTTTGACATAAGCTCCGGACAAAATAATATGAAAAATAACAAAGGGCACTTACTCAAAAATTATATAGCGAAGAGTTATCATTCTTGCGCGAAGCATTCCTCCTCAATAAGGTCTATCCACCTATGACATTTCATGTTGACGTGTAAAACACTTTTGAGTTATGCTCCACTCAGGTGAAAATTTAAGTATGAAAAATAACAAAGGGCAATAACTCAACAATTATGAAAGGTAGAGTTATCATTTTTTGTGCACTGCACACTTCCTGAGTAAGATCTTTGCATCTATGAAGTTTCATGTTGATATCTCAAAGGCTTTTTGAGTTATGCTCTAGACAAAAATTAATTTTGAAAAATAACAAAGGGCAATAACTCAAAAACTATGCAGGTTAGAGTTATCATTCTTGTGCACTGCACACCTCCTGAGTAAGATCTTTGCATCTATGAAGTTTCATGTTGATATCCCAAAGGCTTTTTGAGTTATGCTGGGGACAAAAATTAATTTTGAAAAATAACGAAGGGCAATAACTCAAAAATTATGCAGGGTAGAGTTATCATTCTTGTGTACTACACTCCTCCTCAATGAGGTCTATCCACTTATGAAGTTTCAAGTTGATACCTCAAATACTTTTTGAGATATGCTCCGGACAATAAAGTCGGACGGAATGACGGAAGGTCGGTTGTGCCAACAATTGGGGTTTATGTGCTTTTTCTTTGATCTGTATGTGGCATTTTGTCCCATAAACCAGTAAAATTACCACATAAACCAGTCGGTTCATGTGATTTCCTTCGTTTTTTAACCTAAAATCATGGACGGAATGAAGCTCATAGACCATTGGATGTTTGCCCGGGCAGACAAGGTGGCGACTATATGCTCCCCCGAATTTTTTCGGGGAGCATAAATATGCAAAATACTTAATCGCTATATCTTACTGCAGCAAAAAGTGATGGTTCAGGCAATTGGCCAATGGGAAATGTTTTCGAAACTTTAAAAGGACGCCAAAAATACAGGATTTTGACCAAACTAACAGGAAAAAACTGAAGTTTGTCCTTAACAAGATGGAGTTAAATGGTTCCAGTCTGGTACCCAAGTAGGTCAAATACAAGCATTTTTACTAAGTCAAGAGCAATATCTTTACCAATACTGAATAAATCCACAGGCAAAAACCCAGATACACATATACACATGCTGACTAACAATCCTGTAAAGTTTCATGGCTCCAAGTACGCCCCACCCTATAGTGGGGGCACAATTATGTAAAAAAACATCCATTAATGAATGGCAAAGATAGTTATTGTAATACAAACAAAACCGACCATGAACTGAAATATTAATTTTTAGTCTAAGTGACTTTGACCCAAGGGGGCCCGAATGCAATACCAAGTCAGATCGTCATAAAAGCTTGGTAAATATCGAGTAAGATTACGATATGTCATTTCTAACTTTAGTTATTGTCCAGAAACCAATTTTTCTATTTTTAGTCAACATTACTAAATATAGAAAAATAGTTGGGAATGAGATATTGTTTTCAAATTCTGTATATAGTAAGCTTATTTGAAGACCGGTGCATATTTTTTTTTTTATTTTGCTTTTGGACCCCTTGGGTGTAGCAAAACTTTACTAAAAATAAAAAAATAGTTTTCCGGACTATAACTACAGTTAGGCATCAAACTTGGTATTTAGCAAGCTCTTTTATTCTTCATACTGATAGTAAAGAAAGCCACGTGATCGACTGCTTGGGAGAGAACCCTTTATACCTTCATTACTCCATATATACCTCGACCAATTTCCCACAGCTTTAATTATCGGTACCACACTACAGAATGTCTAGGTCCCCACAAAATATAACTGCTAAGTGGAGAAGTTTGGATGCGTGGTTTGGACTGTGAAATCCCTAGTGTAGCAGCAGTCAGCCCCCTCACAGCCCCTTCTCGCTCATTCAAGTAGGTGTATTGTCATTCATTTATTCATTAAATGTTTGCAATTCAAAGAGGTCGTGTCATGAGCAAGATCCAAACAAGCATTTCAAACATCAATGCCACACTTGGAGTTACATTTGTGAAAAGATGGTTATGTTCAGACTGTAACGTTCTTTCTAAGGATGGGCTTGCACTTTAACCCCTGGCTCTAGGGCCATGAGTTTCAAGTTCTGGTAGAGAGCTCAATGCTAATTACAATTATGCCATCAGTTTGACTGCTGGACGCCTAGGTGAAAGAATGATGTTTTTAAAGGTCCTTATTTATTTAAGGGGCTCTTGAACTCAAATATATCAACATCAAGGGAAAATCCTCCTAAAGATTACAGCATGCAATCTCTAAAACACAGAAAAAGTTGTTGTTTTGAAATTTGTTTAGAAATATTGACAGAAAGTCACGTAACAACTTTAATTGACCTAGGTATTTCATACTTTTTGGCAAAATTCCAATATTCCTTGGCAAATAATATATGATAAACAAGATCAACAACGAAAGGCGGCGTTCAATGAACGCAACCCCCATATGACCCAGCAACAAGAACCAATGGCAAGGAGCCCAGGCGGACCCCAAACAAAAACAGGACAGGGCAAAGACAAAGCACGGACAGGTTAATCATTAAATGATAAATAATTTGTAACTGATTAGGAAATCAAAGAAAATAATAATAAGCCCACAAAGGGGAAGGGGACAGGAGACCGGGGGAAGGGGGGGGGGGTAATAAAAAAACTAAAAAAAAACTAGAGGCAATGGGGAAGATACTTACCGTAGACGAGAAAACAACAAGGGACACAAGCAAGAGTGTCACCAAAACAGTATGAAACAACATAGACATACGTCTGAGGAACACAGTGGGGCGCCGCCTTGGAACGGTCAGCAGCATAATAATGACTGCTGGGGAGTTTAAACCGGTTAATGGTGTACCAAACCTCGCTCTTAGCCCCACCATGTTCCTATAAACGAGACAGTGTAAATAAAATGAATCCCCGCCAAGTGAAATTCTAACAGCTGTCAAGGGATACAAAAGGTTAAATAAGTAAAACACTAAAATGATCATGTAGAAAACTTATAAAAGTAAACCAAATGACCACAACAAAAGTACTCAATGTCCTAAAGGAAGACAGAGCAACAAGAAAATCACCTACAAGGGCCCACCGAAACAAGGCAAAAGACGAACATTAAGACAATTCAGTCCCAAAGGGCTTTACGAACTATCCATCATAGAGTCTCCCACTTGGTCCGTCAGCTGCAATCAAAAGAGGAAAGCGTAGTGTCTAACTGTAAAAGGGTTGAACACTAAACATGCAGTATGTCTTAAAATAGTAGGGTCATAACCTCTTTTAATAAAACGTTTAATGATTTTAGTAAAAACAACAGAAAAATTACCATGACCCAAAATCTTACGAAGTTTGTAAATCACATCGCCATAAAAACCAGGCTTGTTAATCCCTTGTCGCAGAAGAGTTTTTAAATCACTATTGAATTTAGAAATTAAATCAAAATTTAGTAAAATATTTCCGTAATTTATGATAGCGGTAGCCCTGTTTTAGAAGCTTGCTGGTAATAAATATTCCGCTCGTTGAAATCCTTTACGTTGCTACAAGCTCTAGCTAATCGAATTAACTGAGAAACATAAACCCCGTAAGATGTTGCATGGGGTACGTCCCCGTCTAAATGTGGATAATTAACTATACAAAAGTCAAAGTCATCTCTTTTATCATAGATTTTTGTGTGAATAGAATTGTTGTTGATAGTAATATGAAGATCCAAAAATGATGTACTAAAATTTCAAGAGTTCGTTTTATTAAGTTGTAGTTCATGTCCATTCTAAAAATTGTCATTTTTGACAAAGCCATTTGATATTTATGTTCCAATTTTTGTGTATGTTTGGGTTGAATTTTTATACTGAAATTGTATTATCCTGATGATGGTTATTGTTTGACTGAAACCTGTCAATAAATGTGTCTAAACATATGCCCGGGTTTTGACGTGTTGTTCTACTTTCTTTTCATATTTAATTTCTGAATTAAAAAGTAGAATCTCAAACCATGTAACACTTGCAGAGAAGCCGGCATAGATGAATTTTTGCAGCGTTGTTTCTTGGCCTTTCTTTCAGAGAATATATGTAGTAATGTAAAGCATCATTTGGTCTGTTCTCTTGTTCCATACATTGCCCTAAAATATTAAGAGTTGTTTCTCTATGTTTAAGGTTTTTCTCTGTAAATGTTGTTCTCATAAGATTATTGAGAGCCTGTTGTTTTTCTTGTTGTCTCTGTAGATGACTATATATCTTATATTGTAGGAAGTATAAGAAAGGGAGAGAATCAACTACTGCCCATTCCATCCATATGTCACTGGGAAGTCTGTGTATCATGTCATTTTTTGTAGATCTGAACACTTCATATTGTAGTTCACGAGGAACGCAGTTGATCTCCAGCCGTAGGAAATGGACGCAAAATGCTACAATATGTTTGATACAGTCGTCATTGTGTTCATTACATACCCTTGCAATGTCTTCAGATATTGTTTCTGGTATCCCTGACACGCAGCTACAGATAGGTATAACATAAAGAGAGTTATATTTTTGTTCCGTTTGTCTCAGAATCTCTTCAGCTTTCTCCATCTCTCCTATACTGTAGAATACTGATGCCAGTTTCAGCCTGCCAGATGAAACATCTGAGTTTACACCATTTGATAGCATATTAAATGCTTCAGGTAATATTTCATTATTTTTGCCAATACTTGATGATGCTAGGGCAGATCCATATGTGGTGTAGATAAAAGGTTCCAGAAACTTGACTTTAGTGTGTAAATCATTATGTCTCTCACCAGTATTATGCATCATATTTGTATATTGTACACTCATTAAAATAACTAAGAGACTTTTGCTTATTGTGAATGCAAAGTTCATGTATAATTCAAGAGAAGTAATTTCAAGCGAAGTAAGAGAACTATACACTTTCTTTGGTACAATGTTTAGTTTAATTTTAAGTCTATATCCTAGATCATCAGTATCAATCCGAAGCAAAGAATGTCTATCATTCTGAATAAAGTCACTTATATTTCCTAAAAGTTCATTTTTTGTCTCAAAACGAAATTGTCCTGCCATCAAGTTGTTTTCAGATATTATGAAATGGGAACAATGTTCATTCTTTACACAATTATGTAATTCCTGTAGGCAGAATATTAAACATGTCAATAAATTGTTATCTACCCATAAACTTGATTCTGTATTTTCTATACAATGAAATAAAACTGTTTTAATCATAAAACTTGATATGTTTATTACCCCCTGAGGAATTAGGAATGATTTAAGAATCATTTTCAGTACAACAAAGCACCTAATTTGTGTTATATTGAAATTGAACATAAGATATCTCTCTGCCAGAGATGTAGATAATCTCCATTCAAGTTCAGGATAAACACTGACTTTACTTCCAACTGGAACAACAAAACACCTTTTTCTGGCTGCGAATCTTCTCATCTCATTTGTTGGCCATCCTCCTGTACCTTGTCTCTCTAACCAAGCTGATGCGGGTTGAGGCCAAGATTTACAGGGATAAGCATGATGCACAGTATCTTCATCACGAGCATTGTGCTGTCCTTGTTTAGTAATGGATGGCCCATGCTGCTTCAAACCAAAAACCTCAAAGGGATTTTGTGTTGTATTTTTACATAATATTTTGCTTCTTTCAGATCTTTGGTGATTATTAGGAATTTCAGTGGCAGGCAAAGGTTCATCAGATCGAAACAAGTGAAGGAAACAATATCCAGGGGTTGTGTTCTCATCCTGTACCATGAGGTAGTTTTTCTTGCCAAGTTCCCACTCTGACAAGTCTTGTATAACATTAACATTATTGTCAAAATTTACCCGATCTATATCTGACTCAAGTCCCATAGTAGTTGTTCCTTCAATTTGACTCCCTAAAATGTAAGAAGTCAAATTTGTACGAGCTGACCTAAACGCAATAGTTTCCATAGTCTCTTCCATCTTCATTAATTTTCTCCTTTTCATCACAATTCGTTTGTTGACACCGAGATCATCTAAAACATCGGATAACATCAGTGATAACTGTTCCCTGTAGTGAGGTGCTGGAAACATTCTGTAATATAACAAATAGGATTTTTTTTAAAAGACAGCCAACAAGTTTCTTTGTTACACATTGCTATTTGTTACTCAATTGTCACTTTTTTTGTTTAAGAACAGAGCAGAACATTAGTGCCAAACTTAACATGGTATTTCAGTTAAATTAGTTATTGTAGATATTGATTATTAATAAATTTAGTATTGAATACAGCTAAATATTTGATAAGCACTGATTCCGAAATATTTGTGTGATGTCTATGATATTATGATATACCGTATGTATGTTTTACTTTGGAAATCATTTACAAAAGTATGTAGAATGTCACCAGTGTACACTTCACCCTGAATGACAGATCCAGTACGAAATAAAAACGATAAAAAAGTCATATTTATTTACATAGGCGATTCCGAATCTAAGAAAACCGTTAATTGTTTTTATTAAAATATGTTACATTTTTACCTACAAAAATTTCGCATTTTTATCAAATGAAAAGAAAAGTAAACATGGCGGTCCTTTAGTGCAAGCAAATGTAAGTTTGAGTCTCTTTTTTGTTTTATTTTTAGCTAATACTTTTTCTTTTTAAAGAAAACAAAATGAGTTATTGTTATTATCATGTTGATTTCCCGTACTTAACCCCTAGCGAATCCTCGGATGGTGCCGTTGACGTCCACAAACATTAACAAAGATCATAACTATTTTAATTCTAGATGTACTTTTTTCATACTAGGCCAGACAAGACCTTCACGTACAGTACATCAGACTAAACTTGTGTTTCAATTATAACTGACATCGACCTTCAAATATGTTGGAATTGGTCACAATGATTGTGTTGATGATTGTAACACAACTCACTCATGTCAAAAAGTCACAGAGCCCAAATATGGAAAAAAGTGTTATTTTAATATTTTTCAGCGCAAAATATCCTGTAAATTTGTCAGTTAAGTTGTTAAAATGATTTCTACCTCAAGTTTGAGTACGCGTCATCTGGGGTCAAAACAAGATGAAAAATCCCATATTCGGAATTTGCTCTGCAGATATGGTTATAAGTTATGATATCAGTCTAAGATTTAGTGTTATAAATATGACGTCTTGCTACTCGGCAAAACGCTTAACCGATATAAACTTCAACAAGCCTGTAACGTCTGATATATTGGACTTTCAAAGATCAAGAAATTATATCTGTTTTTAATCAATAGTTAACAATATTGATTGTTCCATTTAAAGCCTTAATAATCAAGTTAGCAATATGCGGGCCCTCATGGCCCTTTTGTTTAACTAGCCATCCTCTCTTTTGGTTTTGATTTTAAAATAATAAAAGATAATTTGAATGCAAACCCTGAATAAATTACCGATTTTAATACGTTCCGTTATCATATATTCATATTTATATATTAGAATTATGGTGTTTTCGTCGAACTACCGGTTCGGCTAACTTAATTTATGAAGAGGTGCGAAAGTGGTTTCGTCTAACTGATGTTATATAGTTGTTAAAGGTAAAGTAGAGTGTATTCCGTGAGACCGTTCGGACGAACAACGACGTTGAAGGTAAGATCCTGAAACAATTATAATACAATATATTAATATACTAGTAAATGTCTATTTGTTAATTTTGATATATTTTGATATATTTCTAAATAAAAAATAAATTTTTTATGGGTTTTTTTTCCACATATTTTTCATCTAATACGGAAAATGAAATTAAAAGGAAATTATTTTTGAAATCATTGACGTTGTATGTTTACTAAATCAACTTTACATTTATTCCGACATTATTCATTATTCACAAGACTACATCGTAAAAGATACGCCCGTATCCATAGAGCCTTATTCGACTGAGACTGTGCAGCCACATTACCGGAATAGGATGCAACAACATCAACGACTGGATTTATGAGGACAATTTTTAAGTGTTATATATAAAAAGTGATAAATAAAGAATAAAAAAATATTGTTGAATACTACGTAAAAGCCATGGTGTATACACTGTAATACCAGGTACGTATATTAACAATGTACTTATTTTTCACAATACTTTCATAACAAAAAATGTTTAGGCCGTTTTTCAGAAAATGAACATTTTTATAAGAGCTCTTTTCTGGTGCAGTTTGAAAATTATATAATCATAGTTTTATTCAATTTTTAAAAAAAGATAGATAGATAACTTCATTTAAATAAATATTATTTCACAAATTATGGCCAAAAATGACGAAACAATAAAAACTTGTTACTACACGTATATACAATTTCTTTCGTGTGCAGTCGCGATTTGGCTGGTAGTAAAAGTTGCGTTTTTTACTCGTTATGTACAATTCCGGAAATGATTTAGCTTTGTAAATGATAATTACACGGTTAAAAAGATCAAATTCTCAGCTTTCTTTTGAAAGGTATTTTGCGAAATTCAGACCATAAATGACGAAAAAATCTTACATTTGTTCGAAGAGGGAATCATTATTTTTACTGAAGTTTTGACATAATCGGGAGACAAAAAAAAACCCAACTCTGTGTTTAACTCGTCGTAATTTTCTTCATACTAAACGAACTGATTTATAAAATATATATTTGAAAAAATCTATCTTTCAGCTTTCTAGAATATGTTACTTTTAAAAAATCGAACAGAAAATAACATGTTTACGGTAATTTAAATAACCAAGGTCAAATATCATATCGCTTAACACCGCTTATTGATATGTAATCGTCGATAAAAATCAATAACGATCGGCAGCCTGGCGACAGCATAATTTACCGTTTTTGATTTACTGTATAGAGTTGCGGATACCGTTAATATACGTACCTGGTTGTTTATAATAATTACGTACGTGGATTTTTTATGTATATATGCATTGTTAATTCTTTCTCTTTCAAGCTTTATTTTTTTAATATATGTCGATCTTATTCCGATTAAAAGCATTTTTTTCAGCTTTAACTATTTGTATATATAGTTTGACATAGATTATAAAAATAAACTTGTGTGAAATTTAATTTGTGTTGACTCTTTAGTTTTTTTTCAGGTTGTACTTTTAAACGTATATATATTTCTATGATGTTGTTTGTTCACTGAGATCCATTGTGTAACCTGTGTATCGTTTTCTGTTTATCACTGGTATATTGTATCCTCCGTGTTATGTTGTATTTGGTTGGTATTCGCCTAACTGTTGTGTCGTCGTTTGTTTGCCTAACTGTGGTAATGTTTTGTATAGTCTGTTTCGTATGAGAGGTCACTATAAGTTGAAAGGTTGTATGAATGTGTTCACTAATATTTCACGTGCATGACCCTAAAATCCCCGCGAAACATTTTCTTGCTTAAGTAAAATATTTCCCTTCGCCAGTTCCACATTTTACGAGTAACTGATAACTTACTTTACAGTATAGTTGTTGATAGTAGTAGTTACTTATTATAGTAAACTTGAACATCATTTATGGACAGTTCTTGTATGCTGATCCTGGTAAGAATTTATATATTTCTAATGTCATATTTATTCTTTTCCATTGATGAATTGGATGAAATGTGTAATTTTATTATTTTGTAAATCAATTATTTGTAATTCGTTTGTATTTTGTTTGTAGGCTCGTTTTTGTATGTCTGACAATAAAATGATGAAATAGAAGCAAGTCTTCAATCATTTATCCCCGGTTACAATTGGTTATTATTTTATGTAAATATCATTATTGTACTAAAGAAAAGAATAAATAATATGTTTAAATTTTCAATATCTTGTCTTTAATTGCATGAAAATAGCTATTGTTCACTATATATATTAAGTTAGCCGAAACCACTACCTGTTTTACTATATAAGATCAGTTTGCCGAACCGGTAGATCGACGAAACCACTCCCACATAGGTGTGAAACATTATAAGAAAAAAAGTTAACTTACTTTTTATGTTTGATTCTAAATGATGCGATGAAAATAATATGTTTTCTTTCTGTGTGCAGTTTTGCTATTTTCAGTGATTTACTTCCTCTTTTGGTTTTGAATAGAAGGGAAATAAGTCACTTCCTCTTCCTGGTCAATCGCAGCTACTCGGCCCTTTCCGTCAGTCTTCGGATAAGGACCGAATACACAGAACGGATGAATAGTAATTCAAGTTCATTTCCAATATATGTTGTAAAAGTCCACCTAAAATAAGTGAAAAAGCAAACAATACATTATTTTGTTTTATTATTATAATGGTTGTAGAAACTGAAATTACAAAAAACCAACCTGTTTAGGAGGCAGTACACAGTTTCGGCCGTTTAGTTTCGAATTGGCCAGGGTCAAATTTACAAATAAGAGACAGTTTTGAAATTGAAGTTGATATTTTAGGTTCTAAATATTTATAGTTACTACATTTCAAGTTTCAGTGACTAGTATTGTGTTTCAGTTATTTAGTAAAATTGAATTTAATGGCGTTGACCCTTGCATTTGGAGATAGTACCTGCCGGATGTGAATGTGTAGTTTTTGGAGCTAGCCGGTGAATCAGCTCTTCAATTTACAGGGTATGCAGAAGACTTAGAATAGTGAAAAAAGTAGGTGGATAGCACCCCGTTTGGATGTTATTTTCAGATTCTGCATTGTTTAAGAAGGAAAAAAACACTATAGCTTGTGATTTAATCTTTTGACGTTAATATATTGTTGTATTTTGCGAAAAGGGGTAATCCGCTTATTTTGTCGTTGATTCTCGCGACTAAAACAATGAAAAACACAGGGCTATGTGCCAGAAAACTAGAAGGTGGACATGTATTTTTATTTGTTTGCTGTGAGATAAATATGTATATGTTAAATATGAAATGCATTTATTTCAGGTGTGTGATTACAGACTTGTGTGTGAGGTTTTGATTGTGGCGCAGTCAGTTGTTTGCCGAGAAGCCTTAAAAACTGTGTATTACCCCCTTACATTTAGTCGGATTTGTTCAAAATTGAGCATCAGTGGGCATATTTAAATAAAAAATTGTTGTCAGACATATTTTCAAGTACATGTATTAGAGTACCGGAACAGACATAAGATGTCAAATATATACATTCGTTTTACATTATCTCATCTGAAACCACGTGGTAGAACTACTTTCAAGGGATCGATTGAGAGTACAGTTTGCATATTTAGCCCCGCCTATAAATTAAGCACGAATTTCTGATATAGCGTTATCATCCTGATTAAAATAGACTTAATCTATGGAAATCATCAGCGTCACTTTGAAATAATGCATATGCATAATCCTCCTAATAAGTATATGCATATGTCTAAAAAATGGAAACAGGCTTTAAACTTCAGGACATACAATTGTACAATAATGGTTTTTCATTCATATGCCTTATAATTGAATCAGCATATGAACCTATGTTAGGATATCAAGTAAGATGATTATAGGATCATCTGAATGCACATGTACACAATGTATACTTATGTTCATTAAAGATATATGAGGAATCACATTAAAAGAGGACTAAGAGATCATCTACATGAACATATACTCTAGTTTTGATAGAAGATGCATCTGTAAGATGAGCAGGGAATCATCTAGATGTAATATACATTAGTAGTGATGGAATATATATGAAGAAGGGTCATCTGGTCTTTAAGGTGTATAAACACTGTAGTTCTTAAAGAACATATATGAGGGAAATGCATATAAACATTTTTATATTGAACAGATATAAGGGTATCTCGTAAGATGACCAGGGGATTACCTAGATGTACATATACTATAGTTTTCATGGAACAGAAATAAGGGGATCACGTAAGATTACAAGATCATCTAGATGTACATAAACTCTTTTTCATTATATAACAGATATAAGGGGATCACATAAAATGACCAGGGGATCATCTAGATGTGTATATACTATAGTTTTCATTGAACAGAAATAAAGGGATCACGTAAGTAAAGATGACCAGGTGACATCTATATGTATATACTCTTTCATTCTGGAACATATATGAGGGGATCAAATAAATGACATCTATATATACATAAACTCTTTTTTATTATGGAACAGATATAAGGGGATCACGTAAGAATACAAGGGGAATATCTAGATGTATATATACTATAGTATTAATTGAAAAGAAATAAGGGGATCACGTAAAATAACCAGGTGCTCATCTAGATGTACATATAATATTTCTTATTATGGAACAAATACATTGTTTAAGGGGGTCACGTAAGATGACAAGGGTATCATCTAGATGTACATATACTACAGTATTCATTGAACAGAAATAAGGGGATCACGTAAGATGACCATGGGATCATCTTGATGTACATATTCTATAGTATTCATTGAACAGAAATAAGGGGATCAGGTAAGATGACAATGGTATCATCTAGATGTACATATACTATAGTATTCATTGAACAGAAATAAGGGGATCATTTAAGATGACAAGGGTATCATCTAGATGTACATATACTATAATATTCATTGAACAGAAATAAAAGGATCACGTAAGATGACCGGGGGATCATCTAGATGTACATATACTATAGCATTCATTGAACAGAAATAAAGGGATCACGTAAGATGACCAGCAGATCATCTAGATGAACACATACTTTAGTTTTCATTAAACAGAAAGAAATAATGAGATCAGGTAAGACGACCAGGGGATCATCTATGTGTACATACTCTTTTTCATAAGGGAACAGATATAAGGGGATAATGTAGTAGATGTACATAGTCTATTTCTTATTATGGGACAGATACATTTAATAAGGGATCGTGTAAGATGACAAGGGTATCATTTAGATGTACATATACTATAGTATTCATTAAACAGAAATAAGGGGGTCACGTAAGATGACCAGCGGATCATCTAAATAAACATATACTTTAGTTTTCATTAAAGAGAAAGAAATAAGGGGATCAGGTAAGATAACCAGGTGATCATCTAGATGTACATATACTATTTCTTATTATGGAACAGATACATTTAATAATGGGATTACGTAAGATGACAAGGGGATCATCTTTAAGTACATACTCTTTTTCATTATGGAACATATATGAGGGGATCGCGTAGATGTACACTATACTTTTCATTGAACAGAAATAAGGTGATCACGTAAGATAACCTGGTGATCATCTAGATGTATATATACTATTTCTTATTATGGTACAGATACATTTAATAAGGGGATTACGTAAGATGACAAGGGGTTCATCTAGATGTACATATACTATAGTATTCATTGAACAGAAATAAGGGGATCACGTAAGATGACCAGGGGATCATCTAGATGTACATATTCTATAGTATTCATTGAACAGAAAAAAGGGGATCACATAAGATGACCAGCGGATCATCTAAATGAACACATAGTATAGTTTTCATTAAACAGAAAGAAATAAGGAGATCAGGAAAGACGACCAGGGGATCATCTATGTGAACATACTCTTTCATTATGGAACAGATATGAGGGGATCGCGTAAAAGGATCAGGTGATCATCTTGATGTACATAATTATACTATAGCTTTCATTGAACAGAAGTAAAGGGATCACGTCAGATAACCAGGTGATCATCTAGATGTATATATACTTTTGCGTCCGTGGCCGAGTGGTTAAGGTCGTTGACTTCAAACCACTTGCCCCTCACCGCTTTGGGTTCGAATCCCGACAGGGACTTTGGATTCTTTAATGCGAGGAAGCTATCCAGCTAGCTTACGGAACGTCGGTGGTTCTACTCAGGTGCCCGTTCGTGCCTGGAATAATGCACGGAAGGGCACTTGAGGTCTCCCTCCACTAGTAAAGCTGGAACGTCGCGATAATCTTACGTAATCCACTTATTTCTGTTCAATGAAAACTATAGTATATGTACATCTAGATGATCCCCTGGATATTTTACATAATCCCCTCATATCTGTTCCAAAATGAAAAAGGGTTTATGTACATCTACATGATCCCCTTGTAATCTTACGTGATCCCCTTATTTCTGTTCAATAAAAACTATAATATATGTACAGCTAGATGATCCCCTGATCATTTTACCTGATCCCCGCATATCTGTTTCATAATTAAAAAGTGTATATGTACATATAGATGATCGCTAGTAATCTTACGAGATCCTCTTATTTCTGTTCAATATAAATTATAGTAGATGTACATCTAGATGACCCCATGGTCATTTTACGTGATCTTTTCATTTATCTGTTCATTAATGAAAAAGAGTTTATATACATCTCGATGATCTTACGTGATTCCCTTATATCTGTTCAATGAAAACTATAGTATATGTAAATCAAGAAGATCCCCTGGTCATTTTACGTGATCCCCAAGCTTATATCTGTTCCATAATAAAAAAAGAGTGTATGTACATATAGATGATGCCCTGGTCATCTTACATGATCCCTTATTTTGGTTCAATGAAAATCATAGTATATGTTCATCTAGATGGCCCCTTGTCATTTTACGTGACACCCTCATAATTGTTCCATAATGAAAAAGAGTTTTTGTTTATCTAGGTGATCACATCTTACGCGATTCCCTTATCTCTGTTCAATGAAGACTATAGATATGTACATCTAGATGGTCCTCTGGTTATCTTACGTGATCCCCTAGTTTATACCTGTTCCATAATAAAAGAAGAGTATTTGTACATGTAGATGATCCTTTTGTCATTTTAGCTTATCCCCTCATATATGTTATTTAAGAACAACACTGTTTATACATGTACATCTAAAACACCAGGTCATCCTTCATTTATGGTCAATACAACTAGTGTACATACGTACATCTAGATGATTCCTGCTCATCTTACATTAACTTCTCATACATCTTCTATCTCAACTAGTATATATATGTACATGATACCTTGGTCCTCTTATAATGTTTCCTCCTATACCTCTAATGAACATAACTATACATTGTATGTACATTCAGATGATACTTTAGTGATCTTACTTGATATCCTAACGCAGGTTCAAATGCTGATTAAATTATTAGGCATTTGAATGAAAAACTATTATTGTACAATTGTATGTCCTGAAGACTTTAAAGCCTGTTTCCATTTTTTAGACATGTAA